TTGCTATGCGTTCACGGGTTAAGCGTATGGGTTCTCGCGGCTCACGGAAGAGGGTGCAGGCGCGAACCATTTCCAAGACAAACTGATCATGTGATGGGTGGGGCTTCCAGAATCTGACAGAGTTTTGTTCAGAAGTGAACCTCACACAACAGCTTGTGAACTTCGATGAAGAGGAAACAGGCAAGTCTGAAGGAAACACGGGCAAGAAACGTCGTTGACTGCCTTTTGTTCCGATCTCAAGCTCTGACAATCATCGCAGCAGCTGGTATGACGAAGCTTCTTCCAGAACACTCCGGTGAGCACGCGGCACACGCTCTAACAATGCGGGCTTGCCATGATGAAGCTCACGTTTCAATTGCTTGCAAAGGGAGACGGCCCCTCAAGTTACGTTTGTGGGTTTGTCGTAGCCTGAGAATGTATGCGACATTTTGCTTGGGACCTGCCTGGCCTTGAAGGGGTTTCCTCTTCCAGCCCACGTTCTTGGATATCAGTTTCCCGCTACTTGTGGTGCGAGTGCACGGATGAGTTATTCAAGGGACAGATGCATCGTGCAATTTGTTCACCCACTTAACCCTGCTCAGATGTATGGATGTTCTCTATCGCAGCCGGGAGCCGGCTGTGGCGAAGAGCTCTCAAGGAGTGAAGTTTCGCATGCTCGCGTCAGAGCTTGAATGACCTGCTGCGCGTCGTTGTTCGAGACTGCTTGTAGCCGGCCCGTTTGGCCTGAGCCTCAATGGTGTGACGCTGTGGCTTCACCGAGGCAGGATCTGCTGTCATGTGTTCCACAGCACTGGGCCCGGCCCCGCCCCGCACAGGAGAGCGAGCGAAGGCGGCCTGGCGCTTGCACCTCGTATCCGGAGCAACAGCCCGTGGTTGCCAGGTCACTGAAGTCGGCCGAAGTCATGGTCGGCGGCTCCGCTTCGCTCCGCTTTACGAGGGTTTAGGCTGGGCATGGCAGCTGCTGGCAGCTTAGCAAGTCCTCAGGCGAGGCCACGCGAGCTGAAGCGCTTGGAGAAAGAGCTGCAGGCGCGAATTCGGCAGATTCCCGGAACGGCCAAAACCAAGCCCCCGAGTCAGCTGAGTCGGAAACCTGACGGTTTAGGGTTGAGGGCGAGGGGGAGGAATTTCAAGGCTTAGAATTTAGGGTTTAGGGGTTTGGGGGTTTAGCGTTGTGTTAAGTCTTTCTGAGTCGGGGGTGAGTTTCACTGACTCGACACGAACCGTTTTCGGACTCGTCTCGGGCATTACCGACTCGACGCCGAATTGCAAGCCGGTCCGGGCTTTTGAGCCATTGAGTCTGATCTGCCAAGCTCTTGCCAAGACTGGTTGCACTTCTAAGCTGTTCAGGACATTCGCGCTCTTGCGAAGGATGGGAAAGAGGCTCAGGTCTCTGCTGATTCGGCTGGGTCCTGAGGGATCGTAGCTCTTAGTGAGTCGATCGTTGTGGTCGCAACCAGGTTGACAACGACCTTACGCATTGGAAGGCTTGGCTCAAGGGCCCTGAGGGGACACCGTGCGCCAACATCATAAGCCCTATGTCCTTTCGCACTGCGGCCCGGTGCGTCAAATGCGAAAGAGGTACTCGGGAGGACTCTTCGACATTGACATTGAAATTCCGGCAGAATATCCGCACGCCAGAGTGTACCCTTCTGGCAAGGACTTCTGTTGCTTCTGTCCAGCCAGGTACAATCCTCCGAAGATGAAGTTTGACACGAAAATCTGGCATCCGAACATATCTTCGCAGGCCCTGGCACAGGATCTGACTGTGACTCTTGTTGTTTGAGTTCGAAGTGGGATTCGGCTCAAGTCTTCTGCACAAGACCATTGGTCGGATTTGTTTGAAGGGCTCTTGCACTCAGAATCATTCATGTCACCAGTATACACATTCGAAGACATAATTTCAAGATGCAGCTCTGTTGATGCTGCAGGGAGAGATCACCGGTACTCTAAATTGAGCACGTCTTTCAGCAATTCTGTAGCTATTCGTCGAATTTTTCCATGGCCATCAGCTGATGCAGGACCGTTTCACATGTCTCATGCCTGGTATGTTGCACACACGATACCGCTTAAGCCTGCGGTTGCATGAATGCTGATCGCGGAAGGTGCAATTCGGTTTGAATGCCGCTACAGAATTCGTCTGGGCATGCAGAGCTGCGGTGCAACCATCGTCAAGAAGACCGCTGCGGTCGTCTCTCAGATTCTCTGAGATGGTCATGCACATGCTTCAGTGTACCCACGGAGCACATGTAAGCAACCCACAGCCAACGACAACGACAGCCATCTTGGCAGTCTGTAACGCGTGGGCCGAGAGCCAATGATTGTCAGAGCGTGCGAGTGACGCCTCTGGTGGAGAGGGGAATCCTGCGTGGCGAAGACTGCCGGACGTGGAATGCTCTTCGGGGCGTTCCCTGTGCAGCGAACAACCATCTCAGAACTGGAGTGGACGAGGGGAATCCGACTGTTGAAATAAACCGCCAAATGGAGGACAAGAGAGCTGCTGATGGCTCTCGCGTCCTTCGATGGCGACTTCAGTTTTTCCCAGGAGCCGGGTCGTGACACGAAGTACTCCCTTCCTTATGCTGCAGAAGTCCCCTCATATGTGAGACGTCAGGAGTCCATTGCGCGGCTTGGTGACCGTGCAGGATCGTCAAAGTTGACAGAGGCCTCGTCAAGAGTCAGTATCACGTGCAGCTGTGAGAGCTTCGCCGCATCTGTGGTAGTTGTGAAGGAGCAGCAGTTCGGAACTCAGACATTTGCGAAACGCATACACCGCCCCACCCCCCCACTTCTGCGAAGAGTCGCAGTGCCCTGGTGCTTCAAGGAAGCAGTTGAAGCAGAGCAAAGCATTCCAGGCATCGTTTGCCGTGGCAATCTTTCGGAAGCTGGAAAAGTCTCTCAAGTCAGAGGCGCAGCTGCGCCTCGAAGAGCTGCTCAAGGAGTACTCGGAAGAGCGTGCGACCACCTCAGCTCTAAGACTCTGAGCCTGCGCCTCTCTTCGCAGAGAGCCACGCACGTGTGCGACATGTGCTACAGGACAAGAAGCGTGTCACGCTCGACCAGTCCTTCACACCGGATGACGCTTTGAGCCCAGGTTGCTGAAGTCTTTTTCGGAATGCATCAGTCGCAACTTGTGGTCGACTGCACTCAGGCCGACTTCTCTGCGGCTAAAGCCTATGATTATGATCGCAGCACCAACTACTACGAGGCCTGTGGTAAAAATCCTCGAAGCGTGGAAGGCATGACCACTGTTGCGAGATTCTGGGGATAGATGAGTATGCTCCCCTGGACGAAGTGAATCGCGCCTACAAGCGCCTTTCCCTCGCTGGGACCTTGAGTTTGATTCATAGGAAGCTCGAAGAGTTGACACCAGAGACTCGAGACGATGTGCTACAATTTGAGGTGTACCACCCCGACAAGACGAAGGGGATGAGTGCGCAGCAACAGGAGGACGACTTTCTGGATATATAGGCATATCTAATTCTGGCCGGTTCGATGCACCAATCTAAGCCAATCTACACTGTCTACATGCTTCTTCTATACCTGTGTTGTGGCCATGGTCCGCGTTGAAGTTAGGCTCTTAAACTGAAGCCGATCTCGAGGACTACGAGACGATCTTCATCTCAGTGAAAAATGCTCACTTGGTCCTAGGCGGCCCTGCGCTCTTGAGCACTGCCGCACACTGCCCACTGCCTCCAGAGTTTCTGTCACAGGAGACCAGCCCACCCGGAGGCAGTATGACAAGGCCAGGCCGATTGGGTGCCGGCACTCCAAGGGTCCAAGACATCCAATTCAGCTCTTTTGCAAGGATCGCGATCAAGACAAAGCCAAAGAGGTTGTCAGCGGGGTGAAGGCAACTTGAACTGCTGACTCAGCCTCCTGCATAATGCTGGAGCATGCTCGCGATGTCTCCAACCGCACGCCGCGTGCAGCTTCCTGGAAGGCTCCTTCATCCCAGCATGTGGACCTGACGGAGGCATCGAAGCTGTGATTCGGCATCGTGCCGTGACGTTCTCCATTTCTCGCCCTTGTTCTCCACTTTCAGGTCTTAAAGCGCATCAGCGAGATGCAGAGGCAGGGTTTTCGCGGTGATCGGTTCGTCCTCTTCGAGACAGTGCCAGCTCTGGTCAGCTGCAGGCCTCCAGGCAAAGTGGTTGAGGTTCAACTTGAACTGGAGCCTGAAGCCTTCCAGAGCGTTCCTGAGCCTTGAGTCAGCAATCTCATTGCCAGTGGCCGAGGCTTGAGCAGTTCTTCTACGGCGCACACAAGGCCCAAGTTTGTCTGCGGAGAATCACTGATGTCTTTAAGTACGCTACACAAGCTGAACTGGCCTCGACCCATGACGAATGGTTGCACGCATTCAGTCCCCGACCCGTGGGGATCCACTGCGACGGAACGGACCCCGATCCCCGATCAGTGTCACATAAAACGGTGGTCGCATGATTTCGGGTTTAGGAACGTTTCGGGCTTAGGGGTTTTGGGGTTTCTGGGGTTTAGGCTTTACCAGGTGCTCACGAGTTGGAGCTGTGCCGGTGGAGGGTTAAAGGTTCGTCCAGAGTCCAATGTGACCGGCGCAGCACCGCCTGCAGATGTCTTGATATGCAATGTGCTTCTTTGGCTGTTCACATGGCCGGCGTCTGTAAGACCTCACCCATGTTGACAGAGGCCGTTTCCAGAGACAGACGCATCAAGGACTTCTATGCGGGCATGATCAACCAGGAGTCGCGTTGACGTGCTGGGTTTGAGGCTTCCAAGGTTTTGATTGGCCATCGCCCGTCCGTCTCAGGAGCACGTGTACAGATTCCATGTTCCGCGAGGGGCTCGAGATCCCTTGGAATTGACTTTCAAGGAGCTTGGGGACTGGACTGCTTGGGTCTAGTTTTACCGCGCTTGGCGGGCGTTGCGGGCATTGCGGGGCTCTGCTGCAGGAGCAAGGGGACCACAATCCCGACACTAGGCCAGACACCGTGAAATTCCGCAGCAAGCTTAGCAGCTCTACGAGGTGAAGACATCTGATGTGCTCATGCTGAGCGATCAATGGCACATCTCATCGAGTCTTCGAGGTATCACCGCCCGTCCACATGCTGTGGTCACAAGGCAGGAAGGCGACCTCTTGCGACCGGAGGCAAGGGCCAAGTCTTGCTTCCATGCGGGTCGGAGCAAAGACTGGGGTAGGAGATCCAGCTTTCCGCCGGATCCCTGGCGGAGGCGGGTGAAATGCGCGGCACACATGACTCGGGGAAAGGAGCAACCTGAGTGCAGAAGAAGCGCAGAGGCCTACTTCACTGCTCAAGTGCCTGGGCTTCGAGGGCGCAGGCTCTGAACCAAGAGACTGCGGAAACGTCGCTTGCGAAGTTTGGGCCATGACGCAGAAGCTTTTCCGAAAGGCTTTTGGTATGGGGCCGGAATCCTTTCCACAGCAGCTGGAGGCGAGACACAGATCACCAACAGCCCACGGCACAGATCCCGGTGAGCTTTCTTCATGATCTGTCGTGTAACTGCCGTGCAGGAGCCAGCCACCCTCTACGGAAACGCGGCAGGATGCTCAGGCTGTGATCGATTGTCAGCTAAGGATGGCCAAGTGCTTTTCGCTGAGTCTGAAATCCTTGCAAACTAGGCTGGTCGTCGCGGTTCGCGGAGAGGGAATGGATGATGAGGGGTGCCTTAGATTCACGTGCAAGTTTCGCCAGAGTCTTAGCACGTGATGATATCTGTTCCGATTCTGTGCATTGGCAGCTTCATCTTTCGCTGGCCAAGGGGCTCCTGACACTCCAGCAGCTTTTTCATCGCAAACGGCGAGGCAGTTTCTGAAGGACAGCTTTCGGGGGCAAAAGCGACACGATGACACCGCTAACCGCTTGTGATGGGTCTTTGGAAGGAAATGCTCTCTGCAAGCGAGGCCGAAGTTGAATAGTGGCCTTGCGAAGAACTTTGATGTCGCGTTGATGGTGTGCTTGAGGCTCTGCAAGAAGGAATAGACGGCCAAGACCTCGGGCATGTTTGATTTGGGATCATGGCCAGAGTGTGAGCTGCCGGCTGTGAGGCGAACCCTACTGGACTAGCTTCGCACCCGTTGCGGAAGCGGCTCAAGTTGCTACGGATCCAGAATCTATTCGCCGGGCTGCCGAGGGCCAAGAAGACAGCAAGTTCGTCAAGTTGTGCGTGTTTCTTGCAGCAACAGCACTGTCTGAGTAGACTTGCCAAGATTGGGGCAGCTCTTCAAGCTATCCCTGGTGAATGGGCCTTGATTGCAAAGTGTGTTCAGCTCTCGGGAGTGAGTGTGCGCAGGTGCGCAATCCAAGAAGGTCCCCCGTGTCCTTGTTGCCTTGTCCAGGTCAAGCTGCTTCAACGTGGCCTTGGCACGAGCATGCCGAGTCTTCAGCAGTTTCTGCAGAGGCCATCCACACATCTGCTTGTGTCTCACTGCCCTTGAAATGGCCTATATGTACGTACATGGTATGCAGCATGCATGTATGTATGTACGTATGTTAAGCCTAGGTAGCTGCGTTTGTGAGCTACTTGTCCGAAAAATGTGTTAAAGTGGCTTCCCCGCAAGCCCTCTATCATGAAGTAGCTGTCTTGAGCACAGCTACTCAGTAAACATAGCTGGGTTCGTGTTTTGGTCCTTTTCCACGGCTCGCCGCTGATCGTACTCGCACCCACACGCGCTCAATAAATCAATCGATCGATCAATCGATCAATCCACCAAGCAAACAACCCTACATACATAGACAGGGGTATGTAGCTAGGCGGAGGATCGGATAGGTAGGCAGGCAGGTAGGCAGGTAGGTATGTATGTATGAATGTATCGATGCGTGCATGACTGCATGCATGCATGTACGAACGTAGGTGCCGGGTTGGTAGGTGGTCTGCTGTATGTGCGGCTTTGCAGCAAAGCCCATGACCAAGAGAGCATTGAGAAGCTCAGTCAACTTCTCCAGAAGTCTCTCAACTTAGCACGTCTGTTGCTCTGTCATGATTGCAAGTTCACCCTCCCTCGCGATGCCTGAAGTCAGCACCAGAATGCTGTTTGGCGGCGCGCTCGCAGGCACAAGCTGGGATCAGAAAGCCTCGGTGACGATAAGACTGAGTTCCACTGCAGACAGGATGCACAAGGCCCGAGTCTTGACAATGAGACTTGTGTGAGCTCTTATGTTAACCTATTCTGGTCGGGGACATTCCTAATTCCAGGATTTTGTGAATGAGGGTTCGAGCAAGGCAGTCCCTGATGTTCCACCCGGCTCACGCAAGGGTGCAGATGACCCTGATCCGAGGCAGCCAACACGGAAGCCATAGCAAACGAAAGTCCGAGCCTTGCAGAATTGAATAGACTGCGGCAGTGCCACAGTCCAACGAAAGTCAGACGTGCAGCTTCTAATTCCGGTTTCCTGAAGCAGATCTGCATGGGATGCATTCGCAGGTCCAAGCAACTGTCAGGATCTTTGTTGGTGAGTCTGCTCACAACCGCATCCGCTGCAGACTTGGCAGCCTTTCAAGGTCGGTGAAGGAGGAGATTCTTCTTCGTCCGCTCGGCGAGGTGGGGCACCGAGGAACACACCCCGATGAGACTCGCCCGCGTGTCTGCCACGTTCGCACTTCCCAGCGGCGACAGGTGATGCCACTCTTCACAAAGCCGCACAGCAGTCTGTGCCTCAGGTGATGATGCTAGATCGGCACATGCAGACGGGATACATCTGCTTCAGGCATAACCTTCTATTCGAACATGGATGACTTGACACAAGAGCAAGATCCAGGCGATCAGTGAAGACTGCGGCATGATGTGCCCAGCGAGTGACCAGACGATTAGCCATTCACCGGGTTTTGCGTTGCAGTCACCCATGGTAATCCTGACCTCTCTGACATGTGAGTTCTGCAGTGGCAAGCGTCGCTTTGCTCTGCACTTTGTTGCAGGCACCACGAGTGCTGTGCCGGTGTTTGCGGTGTGTCAAGACCCCAGATGGTTGGCGAGACTTTTCAACTACGTCCAGCCAGCATTTCCGTGTTGCGAGTGCCAAGGTCTCGCATCTGCAGCTTGTGCTACACCCGAGGTGGGCAGCTGACACTGCCGGGCAGAGCTGAAAGCGTGCATGCGGTTGCAGGCCGAAGCAGACTGGAAGCAGCTGGAGGAGACCTTGTTGCCGCTCCTGGAGCTACTTGGCGGAGCGGCAGAGGGTTCTTGATGCTTCTTGTGCTCCGTTTAATGACCTCCCTCTCCGAGGGCAAGCATCTTCCAGCTGATGCCCGCAGCACGCATCCAAGTCCCGTAGCTGCTTGCAGCTTGGATCCGGAGTCTCAGTCAGAATAGCGGCGGAGGCTAGATCACAGAAGCCGCTCTGCATCGCGGACTTCGCGGCAGCTGCGACGTCGGCCGTGGGAAGCCGACGCTGCAATGGCAGCGCTCTGCTCCGTTCCTTTGTTGGTCAAGAGTTTTGCCGTCTGTGAGGCCAGCGAGGCAGCGGGGAGTGCACCTTGGAGAAGACTGGGAGCTGCCTCGTTCAGGCCTTGCTCAGAAAATCGGCTCTCCGTCGTCAACTCCAATAACCTCCAAACCTGTGTCAGGCGAAGTGACTTCTGGCTGGCAGCTCACTATTACACGCGGTCATGAACCTGGTTTTCGGACTGTTTCCAATCTGCAATGCGCTTGGCGAGCATTACATCTGCAGGTGGATGGTGGACGTGGGCTCCGATCCCGAACAGGCCGCCCCGGAATCGTGCCGCCGTCTCTTGGCAGTTGGAATGTCCAGGCCGTGGCTCTGTCCAACCGAGCTGCGTGCTTTGCCAAGGCGGGAGGCAGTGCAGGAGAGCAAAGGAGAGCAAAGAGAAGTGTCGCTCCATGGGATGTCCGAGAGCCCGAGATCCCGAGGTCGGCGATTTCCTGGGATCCCTGGAAGACGCCCGAGCCGCCAAGGTGACGACCTCCGTGAGTGTCCGGCAGAGGGGCGAGATCGTCTGCGCGTGAGAGCACCGCGCACCGCTCCTCGCTCAGGAGCTTCGACCTGACTGGGCGAGGCCTCGGAGGGAAGCGATGCGTGGGCGTCTTTTGCGTTGCTTGGGCGCTTCGGAGTGGTGGTTTGAAAGGCTGCACGCATGATCATGCATGCTTCCGCATCAGCAACGCAGCGTTTCCAGGACTTGGGCCAGAGTCGGCTTCGCGGCCCAAAACCTCGGACAGGACACTCTGCTGTCCTGGACCTTGCGTTTTGGCTTTTGAGTTCGGTCCCTTGAGAAATTGGAGCTCCCAATGTTTATACGCTGTGTAAGTCCAGCAAGCAGATATGGACGCAAGCTTATGCAATGAGTACTCGGGCTCGAGGACTACTTGGAAGAGGCGTTTCAAGCCTACCGGCAAGCCGTGGAGCCAGATCCTTGGTACTGATGGCTCGACAACAGCTCTTGCCAGCGCGTTGTTTGATGATGGCTTTGCAGGCTTGATCCTTCTCGCGATAACTTGCAGGGGTTGGCCCAAGTCGAATGCTTACTTTAATGTCAAAGTTGCTTGTGAGAATTTCACTTGGAATCATGCCTTTCCTGGAGCTTTCTCGTCTTCCGGCAAGTTACACGTGATGCTGACAGGTCGCGCTGGAACTCTTCTCAGGCAGGGGCGCTCTTTTTCGGCAATCTTCACGCTTCGTGCTGGAGCCGCTCAGGCAGACAAGCTGAGGAGCGCGAGAATGTTTTAGAGCAAACCATCACTATGACGAAGCAGCCTCTAAGTTTTTGGCCAGGAGTATGCGCAGGGCAACGCATCCTGGGCATCCGAAAGCTTCGGCTACGAGCCCAGCCTTCAGAGGCGATTTCTAGGCCGCAAGCAGGGCGCGAACTGTTGTGAAGGTCAGGCGGTCGCTTGCTACACGATAGCACTGGCCACGCATCCTGTGACTCGGAGCAAGCATTTTCGTTGTACAGCTTTGTGTGGTAGAGCTGCATCATGAGATGCAAGACCAAGGTGTTTTGCCTGTACCGCATAATGTCCAAGTTTCCTTATGGCGATCCCTCAAAGAGCGACTGCCTGAGGCCAAGCTACCCGTTGCAGAGATGGAGGCAGGACAGACACGCGTCAATACCCGCAATTTCGAGCTTACAGCGCTCCAGGCTTTTGCAAGAAAGGAAGAGGAGCACAGCTTGCAATGCCAGTCTATTGCATGACCTTGCGCTACATCGCAACCCTATTTCTTCTCGTCCTAACCTTATGCATCTTTCCCGTTGCCCGACATGAAGGAGCTGGTGGATGCAGAAAGCCGTATCAATGCTGAAGAGAACTTCCGGGAAGCCACGAAGAAAGTCCAGCAGGCGCCCACTTGCAGAGGCCATCGGTCACTCTTCGTTCATCAACTGTGGAGACGGAAGGCCACATCCTCCGAGGACATGTTCAACTTGGCTGTGCCTTGACTAAGCTTTGCGCGCTGTGCATTCTGTGTGATGCGGGTCTTTCGCTGGGTCCCTTGGGTTGCTGGCGGCGAACCGGGGCAACCCCTAAAAAGGAGCTGTTCTGCAATGTTTTACAGGTTATTCGCCTCGGCCTCGGCGTGCCTCAGCTCGCGGTGCTTTTTAGCTGAGGCCCTGTATGCCAACAGAGCAGCAGCGCCGTCGTCCGAGCGACACAAGCAGTTTGAGCGCATTTTTATCTGCAAGTGGCTCAGGCTTTGTCACCTGAGATGCTGGGATGCTGCCTGGGGCTTATTCTCAGCTGCTCGTGCATCGTCTATGCTGCCAGCGCTGTTTCGACGTGGCACGATTGCTAGGCCGTGCAAGATGCACAGATGGCCGCCCAGTTGCAGCGCGAGTGGCCCAAGGACGGGCTTTCGGATGTCAAGGTTTCATCACGTTTTGACCTTTTCATTCAGCCGCAGATGACGCCCACAGGCCATAGGCCGATGAGCGAACCATCCGCTCTTGAAAGCTTTCTAGCATTTCGTAGCCGTCGTAGCACCTGGGTGACTTTCCTGACGTTCCTCAGAAGGGATCCCGAATCACGCAGAGGCATTCGTTGGTAGACCGATTGATCGGAATCAAAGTTATCTTGGGTTTGTGGAACTCGAAAGAAACCGCGCAAGGCAAGGAAGGCAGGCAAACGTTCTTCAGCAGGAACCCTGACCCTGCCACACCCAAGGCCCCATGCCCTAAATCCGAACACACCGGAAGGGGAACCCATTAATTCCCAAAGCTCTACATCCCTGATCTTAAACCCCACAACCCCCAAACGCCTTCGATCCCTAATCACCCACACCCAAATGCTATCAAATGCTGAAGCCGAAATGTCCAAACCATCAAAAACTCAAAGACAAGATGCTACACCCCTGACGTCCAAATCCTGAAAGCCCTGCTCCCTATCTCCTTGCAGCATAAAGCCCTAAACATCAGGTCCTGAACCTAAATCCTGAAGACTGAAAGCCCACCTCTGGAACCTTGAGGTGCTGACACCCTTGACCTCAAAGTCCTGAACCCCAGACACCAAAGCGCAAAACTTATCGACGCAACCCCGGACCTCCGGGTACTTAGGCGAGGTGAAACAGAAACTGGCAACAGGAGGTGCCAGGGTCCACATAGCACCGCAGAGACGGTGGAGAACAGGACAGTGACCCGCTACTGGTAGCGTACCAGTGAAGGCTGATGTCGTGTGCTCGCTTCGAGTGGCAGATTCTGAAGGCTTAAATCTTCCGGAGAGAGCCGTGTAAGACACGTCGCTGAAGAAAAGCACCCCGAATCCCTAAAGCCCAGAACCAAGAAAGCCCTGAAGCTCCAAGCCCGCAATTTCTAAGTCCCTAAACTAGAGCCTAAGGCCTCAAATGAAACAACCAATTGACACCCTACAGGAAGGCCTAAAATCCTAAAAGGCCTGTGCCGACTTGCGTGGCCGGACTCGTGTCTTGTTGCCCGAAAAACACACCGTCCAAGTTCGATCCGCCCCAAACATGAAGTTTCAGGCAATCCCAGGCCAACGGCCAGGAGGACGTTGTGTTATCGGAGCAAAAGCATCCAGATGAGATGTTGGGAGTGGCTCAAATTGATTTTGCGGCGTGGCCACACCGTCAACTAGCCCGAAGAACTGCCGTTTTGAACATGAGACACGCCTAGCCGTAGCCAAACTTCTGCACAGTGATTGCAGGCCAGATGCCGCCTTGGTGTTTCCCTTTTGGGAGCTGGCCGGCCGGAGGACGCGTTTGCGATGAAAGAAAGGCTTTGTGTACAGGGGTCTGTGCAGGAGGCATACGTCCAGTTTGCCTGGGCATTGGCCCGGAAGCTCAGCTCATTGAGCCAGGTCCCTGTCTGGGGACGTGGTGTTTTCGCTCAGGCCTTCGACAGTCACAGTGCTGTGGCTCGACAGGGTTTGGAGGCCCCGGTCACACCGGCCACCGGCACTTGCTCAAAGGGTTCATTTCCACGTCCTGTTGCTGAAGCCTTCTCGGATCTTGCCAGGCTTGCCTAACGGCGATCCCTAGATGGAGGCACCGGAGGGTGTGGCGCCCGGTTGTTCCCGCTTGTCATCAGAGCCCGGTCCCGGCCGAGCCCCGTAGTCCCCCACCAGTCGTCCTCTCATTTTTGGAGTACACGGCTTGAGTCCACACGCTGCCAGAGAGCGGACCTTCCTAGGCGGCACAGTCCCGTCGCCTCGAGAAAGACCGCATTCGTCCGAGAGACTCGACGAAGGAGCTCGGAGTGCTTCGCCTTGATCCCCAGCCATGCCTGGCCCTTTCAGCAGGTCTGGGTGGTCTCCGACTTGTACTTCGATGCGAAGAGCAATGCAGAGTCGGCATCCGAACGTCGCCTGCTTCAGACAGCCCAGAGCTCGTCCTGTCGGTGCTACCAGGTGGTGCAATGCGCTCGACGATGCGAAGTTTCAGGCCGGCTACACCCGGTTGTTTGCTTTGGGAGACCAGTTGGCTGAAGGATGATGTTCTGATCGTGGCCGGCAACGTCGCTGGAGAGCCTAGAGTCTAGAGTTTTTGCCGGGAGCCTGACGCGCGTTTAAATACTCGGCACTCGGTCCGAGGCCGACACGCTCCACAGCATCATCCGCGGACTCAAGGCACCTAACACGCCTCTGCACTCTGCAGACTGCTGCCTGCCCTGTGACGACAGGTGCTCAGGTCCAAGTTCCATCGACTCTTCTATGTACCGGGAAATCGGGATCTTGCACTCAACGCCAGCGAGGCTACGAAAGACTTTGGGACAATCAAGCTCGTAAGCAGCTAGTTGAGAGTCGTGCCGAAGAGAGACATGCAAGCACCAGGTGCGAACTGCTCGATTCCCTGATTCCATTGCAAAGCTTCTGGGACTACTGGCGGCCTGTGACCAAATCGGGGTCCTGTTCTCAGATACCATGCAGTTCGCTTCATGCCTTTCACTTTCCCAGCGTCGTGAGCTGAAGCCAGAGGTGGACATGTTTCCGGCGGCCATCTCCCAGGAGTGGAGGGTATCCCGCTGCCGATCTGGCTTCGATGTCTGAGTCCAGTCGAGCTGCAGAGCAGGATGTGTATGTGGTCCCGCTGCACTCGTGGTACAATGCTGAGTTCGACAAGAAAAGTCGCAGCAAGCTCAGACGGCAAGGCTGGCAAGGCTTGTTCAGATGGGTCCACGCCACGCAAGAGCGTTAAGGTCCAGATCCTAATCATGGCTTCGACGCCCAATGTGTTCACACCTCGAGGGAGAAGGGCTGTGGAGGGTGGAGGGCTGAGGGCCGTTCTCCGAATCTCGCCGGCCCAGGTCTGGCCCCTCGACCCCAACCAGCTTTGGAAGCCTTCAACTCAGTTTACAAGTCAGCATAATAAGCCTGTGTCCATCTCCTACTCTGCACTTTGCATGGCAGATGGATGCTGAAGTTGAACGAGGTTCTTGACTGCCTGCTTCGTTTTTCAGACCTTGCGCCAGCAGAGACCGTGCCAGGTATTCCTCAAACCTCTGCAGGGGACCGCCCATTGCCCAATAAAGTCACATGCTGGGATGTGAGCCAAACCATGCAAGCTGAGGTCCTGACCTGCTCCCACTTTGTGCCTCTGACAACGCTGCCCTTTGACGGGCTAGGCATCAGTGCATGTAGTGACGCTGACACTTCAAAAGGCGTAAGTATGAGGGATGAGTTTGCCGAGTCGCAGACCGGGTGCTGGCCTGTGCTGACTAATCGTTGTCACGGCCACGGAATGCCACCAGGCAAACAGGCACAAGCCATGGGGTGCGAAGAGATCGAGGCTGCCGCCTAGTCTGCTTCTGCCCATGCCAGCAACCTCACTGCTCTTGTGGTTTGTTTCGCGGTTTGCAGGACCAGCTGCGACGAGTGCGAAGTGCTGGTCACGTCACTGGCCAGCAATGCGCATAAACTTGAATTGCTGCTGCGCGTAAGTGCACAGGTGGCGCGGCAGCACAGCACTGAGTACTCTGATATAGTACTGAGGCTTATGGCCACGCCTCCATTCGCACGTGTCAGGCAAGGTTCAGACTTCAGACCCGGGCTGCGATTGAACTGCTCTGGGGATCTTCCCGAGGTCCACGGTGGTGTGACCTTCTTAAACCACGCCCTGGGCGTTTTGGAGGATAGTGAGGTCCAAAGCCGAGCCGAGAAAGGGAGACAGGGTTCAACTTTAACTTGTTCCTTTCCAAGCTGTGCTCTTGAAGGCGGTGCCTTCACCGCGGCTCCTTTTCGATGGTCACACGGTGGTGACCTGAGCGCCTCGGGCGAGCTCCGAAGCTTCTGGCCCTGGCTCAAGAGAGCCTTGTCTTCGCAGACGGGACGTCTAGGTACTGGCGGTATTGCCGGGGCAAACGGCCAAAGCTGCCGGTCCTGCCGTGCAAGCAGAGACTCATTATTGTTTGTGGATGTTTGTGGAACAGGCTTGCCACAAAGTGGCGGCTTTAGCTTCGGCAAAAACGGCGGCATCAGCTCTTGCGTTGCTCGTGATGTAGTGATACACTTTCCGCCACTCTTCATGGCTGGAGATGGCCTAGTTCTATATGCTAGATACCACGGCAGTGACGCACAGCTCTGAGCTCAACTCTTTGTGCAGACTGGTGCCATTTGCCTCGACGTGCTCGGCAAGGCCGTCACTTCTTAAAGCAAATAAGTGCGTTGCAGTACCTGCTGGAGGGGCAACTAGCAGCTTTACTCAATCTCATCTGCATCTACCGCAGGAGTGGAGCCCTGCACTGACAATTCGAACAGCGCTGTTATCAATTCAGGCGCTGTTTTTGCGGGGTCTTCTAAGTATTCTGCAGCTCCGTTGTGCCTTAGCATGGTCCTTTCTCATTGCACGGGGAATTGACGGTTGTACGCTTGCTGTCAACGCTTCCAGTACATCAGCTGGACGCGAAACGCGAGCTTAGCTTGTCCATTTGCTCCCAGCGTCCTCAGCGTCTGCGGGCGCCTCCAGGCACTACTGTCTTCTCCGGAACCAGATGACCCTCAAGACGCAGAGGCCTGTCTGGTTATTCAGCACAGACATAATTCAGTACTACTCAGCGGGTGCGTCAGCCACAGGTTGCGGAGATGTACAAGCACAATCGAGAACTTTTTGTTCAGGCAGGGAGTCGTGCAGCCTGCTCCCCTCATCCATCGCAGCAGCCGTGGTTTGGACAGACTGCCAAATACTGGACGGAGACTTTCGCCTGCGAGCAGAAGTCTTCCAACGATGAAAAGGCCGCCCGCAAGGAAGTTTCCTCCGCACACAAACGTTGTGCAGTACTGAAGATCAAAAGGTGCAAAAGATCGTCGACATGGGATTTACACAGGAGCAGGCCAAGTGGAGACCTCAGAGGGCATAAGCGAATGACAGACCCAGCCCTGGCTAGCTTTAGCAAGGTCGGCTCTTGAGAAGCATGGCTATGACGAGACCACTGCCCTCACCTTAGTCTAAGGTGCAGATTTGACACGCAGTGGCAGTTTTGCAGGTCTGCGTTTCTGAGCGTGTGCTGCCCGCCAAGGCTTTGAACTCCCTCCTGGAAAGCATGTAGTGTTTCATGTAGTTCTGAGAGGTGAGCACAAGTCATAAGTGTAAGCATTGTGACTAAATACTTTCCAAGCTTTGCTGTTGCTCCAGCTCTGTCGCCGGCGAATTTTTCTCGGACTCACTGGCTGCACTAGAGGAGTATCCGATTCGATCTTTGGCAGTCTGTGCTTGCAGAGCATCAGAAATTGTAGGTGCTGGCTTTGCGAGCACGCGATGGTGTCACCAAAAAGGGCTCTGGTTTGGCAAGTGGGTGGAATGTATCAGCGACCTGGAATCCAGGACAATGCAAGAAACCAGCGCTCGAATCGCTCAGTCGAGCTCCAGCTCGGGCATGGCTCTGACAATTTGGTCATTGAAACTCTGTCGAATGTAGATCGCTGTGGCTTCCAAAGCAGTGCAGCAGTTGGGATAACACTCAAAGCCGAGACGTGCCCGGTCCTATCCCTAGGCTAAACAAACTGCGTGCCAGCAGGTACAAAATGTGCAGCCGTTGCAGCTGGACGTAGGAGTTGAATTGCGGTTCTTGTGCGGGGCTCCTTTGCTGGCCAGTCGTCGGCTGTCAAAAGCAGAACTCTCCAAAATCTGGCAAGCTGCTGTATGACTGTATGGGAGATGAGACATGGTGCAGCAGAGTGGCTTAGCGGAGCAGTCTGTGAAAGCAGGCTCCAGCATGGGACCGCGACGCCCGCTGCAGCTTGTTGGCTGTCCGACAATTTCGCACATAGCTCTAGTCGGTTCTATCTGATCAAGTCGCATCATCTCGAACTTCAGCGACAGCCGCCAGAGACTTCCTCAGCCAATTCTACGCAGCATCGGAGTACAGCTACAGACGTCGCGAAGACACAGGAAGTGTGCTAGATTTCCGCGGGCTGTGCTCCGTGGGCAAAGGCGCCCTTCCAACTCTGACCAGATGCTTTGCTGACTGCGAAGCGGCGAAGCGGCCAGGCCTCAAAGTCGTTACCAAGATGGCCGAGAGCCCAGGCGAACCAAGTAACTGCGGATGGTCACTGTATCTTGATGGCGAGGTAGTGACCCTGGCAGAGCGAAAAGCCGCCCAGCGGGCAGAGACCCTCCAGGCACTTGCTGACAGGTGCAAGCAGAGCGAAGGCAGAGCGTCAAAAATGTGCCAGGGCTTGGCCGTGGGCCTCCTCGCAGACCTGAAGACAGCCTGTGGAACTGCGCACGAGCTCGGGCGCCGGCAGCTGCCCAAAGCTTAGTCCAGCCTTTGCACTTGGACGGTTCCTGGCAAGCTGAGAAGCCAGGACTTGGGGCACCGTCGTTCCGGGAGTATTTGCCGGAAGCGACGAGGACATGGATGACGTTCTGGCCATGCTGGCCGCTGCCTTACTGGTCCCTTGCCTGGCAGTGTGCGGAAGAGCGGCCACGCAACGGCACACTGACGTTCGAGATGATTCGACTCAAATGAATGAAACCTGAAGGGGGTCCTTGCCTGTCGAGTGCCCGTAAGAAGTGCTGAACGAATTGACTTGGGCTTACATGATTTGTATACCTGTGTATTCAGGCAGTGTTTGGGTGACCTGCCTGCGGGGTCTACAAACATCTCGTCGAAATCGCGTTGCTGAGTGCGGAGGGTGTGCGCCGGTGAAAGTCTCTTGCACGAACGGTAATTAAGGCTGGTAGGCCTTCATCGTCATGTGATGTGTCGGAACGACTGTTGATCGCGCGAGCCAGAATGCAATTATTGCATGGAGCTAGTGTTAGTGCTTGTTCGTGTCTTGTACAGAGGCGACTGAGCCATGAGAGCATGAACTTTCACACCGAACCAGAAGAATTGCTGGCATGACACAGGATTTAGGTGCTCTGTTCGGATTGATCTCGTCTCATCAATGTCCTGTTTCGAGGAAAGGAATAATCAACCTATAAACGCAGCCTTGAACGCACGCCAGTTGCAAGCCGTGTCGGGACGGCCTGTGCTTGGCAGGCTGAATCGGTTTGCACAGCTTGGGTCCCGACATGTTCCGACACAAGTCTTTTCCCAGGCTGAACACCCTGAGAGATCCCTCAAGCAGAAAGCACAACTGTGCACCTCAAAGCTGAATTCTGCAAGACCGCTGCATCGGTCCCCCATCACCAACACCAGGCCACGAGCAGCAATGTCTTTCCAGTATGTTGAATGAGGTGCATAGGTTTGAAACATAAATGCTGGTCAAAAAGTCAAAAACTGGCTGGGAAGAGCGTCTTCTATCTCGTTGATGAAGCAGCTGCCCAGGTCCCAGCTTTCGAGAAAGCCAGGGCTGTCAGGGGATACTTAGACAAAGGGAGCGCCGCCCTGCCCAGGATTGCGGCCTTTAAGGGCGAAAGCCTTGTTTTTTTGCTTCAACATGTAGCAGGGCACTGCAAAGGGAGTACCTTGCCTCCACGCCAAAAGCTCGCCGAAACTGAATAAACACCCCCATAATTGTAAGACGTTTTCAGGTTTAACTTCAGGCAACTTCTGCGTGTGGAGAAATAGAGCCGTCGGAACCAAACAGTAAGAACTGCAGCACCAACTTCAAACAGCAGGCTGGCGGATCAGATTTTAAGCTTGAGCTTCTGAAGTTCGAAGTGTACGTTCTGATCTGTCTGTTGTGCTTTGGAGGCCCACGGCCCACGTCGCATGCACAAAATGCGGAAGCATGTGGCAGCAAAGCGCTTGGCCAGGCAACTCTGATGGCAGAGGACAGAAAGTCGACCAACCTGGGCTTCCAAAAGATCGAGTGGTGCGCCCCCTCCCCGAGCTCTGTCTCTCTGTCTCTCTGTCTCTGCTCGGCGCTCCCCTTCGCAGCCGCGCGCAGGTGCAAAGCACAAGCGCCCACTCAGTGGGTGTGGGCCCTGAGTTGTCCCACTCAGCACTTTGATGCTGGAGACTGTACAAGAGAGGTGTGGTAGCATTGCGATGCTTCCGCCCCGAAGGTTGAGCAGCCCTCCCGCTTCGGATCTCACATGCACATTCGGGTGCATTGGAGTGACGTCCTAAGTCTTGCACCACTCCACATCTCTAGTGCACCCGCTCTGTTGAATGCCGCCCCACCACCGCGATGCTCGGGTCGTGTCGCATCAGGTGATGCAGACGCGGCCTACTTTGGATGACCGTCACCAGCGCCGTCACTGACTCGGCACTCGGCACGCGACTCCAAAGTTAAAGCTCAGCTTCGCTGCAAGTCTCCGTTTTGAAAAGGGGCTTATCTAACAAAAGACGCGCATATCATGACAATCTGTGCGGACTCAGTCTTGCCAGGCTCAAGCAGTGGCACCTCTGCTGACTCCTTGCGTCTGAAAGACCAGAGGATAAGAATTTACGCGCCGACGTCTTTCATCTGCTTAGCACTAAGTGCTCTTGCAGAAGATAGCCGTGACCTTCAGCTTGCAGACGGCGCACTCTGGCTATCCAGAGGTACCGCCTATTGCATGTCGTTCAGCGGCGGGTATCGACTTGACAGAGTCCTTCTTCAGGATTCCAGTCGAGTTTGAAATGCAGGAGTGGTGTTTGACAGGCGGCAACATGCATACATGTGCATACGATCCTTCACAGCTCGCAGGTGAACTTGTCACCATGCCGCCTATGCGTCAAGTTGACAAGTCTCAGCTCTGAGTCTGAGTTGCAGTATAGCACTTTGGACAGCAGGTGCACACGCCCAAGATTCTGAACCTCCAACATACTCCCAGTTATTCAGCCAAACAACACACCTACGACACAAGCAGATGGCGCTGAAGCAGCATGGCTCCCGTAGGCTGCCAATGATGCATGACGTGTCTTTAAAGTTTTGGGCTGCCAAGCACACGGCTTGCCTGGGTAGTCACATGTGCTACAGGTGACGAAGATGAGGAAGTTTGGGATCTTCTGGCAGGCAGTGCAGTTGAGAGCCAGGCACCCCCGCCTTTTTGTTGACCGAGCGTGTCGAAGAATGCGACTCGGGCAATGTTGCTGAAGGTAGGTTGTGTCAGCGTGTCGCTGGAACCTGAATCCCGGGAAGCTGTCCCTGATCTGCCAGCTCCAAAGCCGCGAGAGACCCAATTCTGCAATTCGCTGCTGATTTCCTAGGTCCTAGACCACGATAACTGGGTCCCACAGCAAGGTCCCCAAAGCCGCAAGCGGTGGAGCCAGCACCTGTGCCGGTCACCGCCCCGTTCAGATCGAGGACGAGCGCTGCTGACTGAGAATCCCCGTGCAGCACATTCTTGCTCTTTGAATTCTTATCTAGACTATGAGGCCAACCGACGCATACCCGCAGAGATTCTCAGTAACGACGAGCTGAATCTCTGCATCGCGGCAAGTCTTCCGCGGACGCACGACTTTGAGGCCACAGCTGACAGCCAGCGCACTCGCAGAAGTCAAGGGCGTTCACGGGGCAAAGTTGCAACTAGTGCGCCCACATGCATGACTATGTGTATCCAGGTAGGAGCCTTTTTAGTCCTGGACTTGTACACGGCCGCTAAAGGAAGCTCCAGCCTAGCGGCCTAGCATCATAGGAAGCATGTTAAAAAGGAATGCTGTGCTTCTGCCAAACTTCAGCTATGAAAAGAAGAAGCCTTCCCCGCAGTCCAACGCGCGAGGTTCACCGCTCTGTTTGGAAGTTGCAGCGTGCCGGTGCGCGGCATATAGGTGCGAATGCAACCGGTTGCGCGGTTGCGTTGTCGGAGTTTTGATTGGTTCATTATCATGTCTCCTTCATGCTGGAGGCCTGCAGCTGCCGGAGGGCTTGCAGGGCTGGGTCGGGTTCTTCGTGTTTATTTTTGGTTTCCGCCTTGTGTATGATTTAGCAGCAAGCAGCAAGGCGACAGCGTTAGCCGACATCTTCTCACGCTTCGTCCCGACGGTGTGAGATCTCAGCTGAACCCCTGCTGGCCGCGAGCAGCAACTTTGCCTTGCAGTCATTCAAGCCGCAAGGGGATCTAAGGTCGAAAGCAGCACCATCTTCGGAGATGTAACTTTCGGTGCCTGTTGCATAGACGACCTTGGTGTGCGCACCTCAGTTTTCCCTTCGGGGTGTCCTTGGTTCCTCAGCAGTTTGCACATGTTTTCCGATGTATGCCAGTGTTAGCTTTTGCACCGAAGCTGGCAAACGGACGTATTGGTTGGATGTGAATGCGTTTGTGCGTAGCACGACATGTTGAGCTCGATGAGATTCAAAGGCGTCTGCGCTGGGAGTCGATTTTCTTATCCACTACGGCTGCAAAGCTGCACTTTGTTGCTTACTACCTTCGCTCGTGGATCCTGCAAGCGACTCTTCTGGTGTACAGTCCTGCATTCAGGTCATTCTTGTATTGCAAGGATCTCAGCAAGTAGTAGCTGGAGCCGCAGCCACGGCGAGCTTCAAGAGCTCATCAAGGGACATATTCCATTGTGCTTGCATGTTGGCACTTGTCGGTTGGTGGGTGTGTGTGTGTGTGTGTGTGTGTGCTGTGCGGGTGCATGCCCAGTGTGTGCTTGAGCCCAGGTGCCCACAGACCAAACGACCGTCACAACTTTGTACGTCCACGTAGAGGCCGCTTGCACGACAAGAATTTCTTGGGACTCATGCAGGGTCTCCGTGACTGTATCTGCGCGCTAAGCACGTGGCAAGAAGAAGCAACAAACGAAGGAGCTCGACGGTTTTCGACGAAGGGCAGAGCATCGCAGAGCCATGCCAAGCGTTTTTCTCACTGAAGCTACGGGTCGAGTGCAATAGGAGCAAGCAAATGAGCACAGACAACGTTCGAGAGCTTGATATGGCGGCTGCCGATCGGGTGAATGCTGGTCATGCACCCATGTACAAGTACCACGCTGTGCCCAGCGAGACTTAGGGCACGGTCTGCTCACATCTCCTTAGGCCTGAAGGGATGTCAACATGGTAGAGGTGAAACACTTCTTCGACACGAGACAGTTTCGCGGTTTCGTCCTGTAGCCTTCTCGGATGCCCTGAGACCACGAAATCCTTGCAGTATCTTGTCGCAATGTCTTGTCTGTCATATTGTACGCTGAGAAGTGCCTCAGCTTGACGAGGAAAGGGGAATTGACAAGACTGACAAAGCAGAGACATGCGTTCGACGTGTGTGCGCGGTGTCTAAGCGAGCTGTGCAGTGCACGGTCATCCGCGTCTGAGAAGTGACAGACGATTCCAGCTCGCGCATCTTCCGCTAGAATAGCCTTCTTAGAGCTGCTTTGTTGCTCGAGCCCTTCGGCAGCTACGGCGCCCTTTGCACATACTTTGTATAAGACTTAGACTTCACCGTTGGAGGTCGAGGTGGACGTGGAGCACTTGGTGGACACCATTCGGCATAACTTCGCACCCGACAAGCGTTCGGGACCCGCAACCAGCAGTGTAGCGAGTCGCACAAGCATGGGATAGCAGCTAGGCAGCTAGGTTCAGCCACCACAGGCAAACAGGCAACTTCTTGGTCCTGAGGTCTGGCCTTCATGAGCAGCGTTCAGTTCTCATCGGGCATGCTGCAGGCAGCATTTGAGCTCATAGCTGATTTCGCTTCGTACACTTCACGGTCACGGTACGGACCGGAGAGGCAGTGGACGAGCTTCGAAAGGAGGCTCAGCCAGTCCCAGCACTTTGTCTAGGACGTGTCTTTGTACTGTCGCCGCTGTCGCAGGCAGATGACGGGATTGCGAAGGCCCCACAGGCCGCCAGCTCAGTCTTGCCACGGCTTGCCATGGCTTGCCTTAGCCACTTAGTCCTAGCTGCTGTTGCTTGCTTCAGTGACGTGACGCTCGTCTTTTTCAAGGTGAAGCCATTGGGTGTTGGAGAAACTCTAGGCTGCACGTCGCCCAATGCTGGCGACGTTGATGCAGCCTGACTCCTACTTGCCCTGAGAGTCGAAAATCTCTTGAACGGGCTCTGGGAAGCTCCATGTTCCAAGCGACGTGCATCTTACACCTCGGATGAAGGCAATTTTCGTTTGCGATGGCAGATTCCATCTTGAGAGCGCCATGATTCAAAATCCGTCCTGCCGGCGAGTTGATGAGGCGTTCTTCTGTGGAAGACCTCTCCCCCAGCGGCAAGTGGCTCCACCACATGGCGTGATAGGGTTAGGAGGCCCAGGATAGTCCAGGATCGGAGAGACGACAGTGGAAGAGAAGGTAGAGCGACAGGCGTCCCGACAAAATCCCCAGAGTCCCCACTAAGCCATTTGCCGCTGCAGCATTGGGCGCCAGGCACTTGCGCGGAAACTTCTTTCGATATGATCCGGCCTGCCTGACGCTAACGTCCGCTCCGCCGAGACACGGTCAACAGAGCCGCTGGCAGTTATGTGTGGTGCGAATGCCACGCCAGGCGAGAGGGCTTTGCGCATGACGAGTTGCACTCGAGCCGACGTGCTGCCATTGCGGCTGCGAGGGATGCGCAGTTGGCGGACCTGCTGCAATGTGGTAGTGTGATTGGATTGCTTTTGGTTGACGGAGCTTGTGGTGTAGCGCACGTGTGCGAGTAGGAACAAGCGTTAGCGATCGACCGCAGCTAGCCGGCTCGATCGCCAAATTTGAGTTTCTCCTCTCGCCCTTACGCCTCTTGTCGCTGTCATGGCATCCTCCTCGCCTGCAGCCAACGCCGAGCTCGCCGACTTCTTGGCGGCGGCTGGCCTGGACGTGGTGGGGCATTCTTCATCGCCCTCACCGCCTTCTACGTCATTGATCGCCGGTTTTGCTTCGCCCACGCCGGGCGTTCATATCGCCACGGGCGGTACGCATGCGGCCACGCAAACTGAGGCCCATGTGTTCATCACGAACTTTGCGGCTGGGGCGTCGGACGGTGAGCTCGCCGCAGCTGTGGGCGCCTTGTCCGCAGTCGACCTGGCTCGCCTTGTGGCGGCCTGTACGGCTGCCCAGCCCAATGCTGGGCCTTCGACTCCGGCTATTTCGTCGCCTTCGTCCGCATCCGAAACTACGCCGCCAACGGGCACGGCCTCGTCGACTATGCCAACGCCCGGGCCGGTCCCCTCGGCATCTAAGGCGGCCCCTTCGGGAGGTACTCCGGCGGAGGACTGGCTCGCCTCATCTGGGGCGTCCTCATCTGTGGTGCCGGGACCCTCCGTCCCGGAGGCTCGCCAGTATTGGATCGACCAGGAGGCGGCAACCCACCACGTCGACGCCCCTCCTGGCACCGGGCTCATCAACGCCTCCGCCCTTCCAGTCCCGGAGGAGGGCGACGAGGACTTGGATGACGACAACGGGCTGGAGGGATACCTTCAGGGCTTCGACACCGCCGTGCCCAAAGCCCCTCCTGACGCCACGCTTCCCATGCCCTTCGGGGCGTATTGCCCTGCGGGCGCCACGGTTCGGTGGCCGAAGCAGCAGGTGCTGGCTCCACCACCGCCTCCGCCACCGGCTTCGTCTTCCTCGGCATCCTCGTCTGGTGGCCCGGTGGGCGTGACGCCCGCCGCCTACCGGACTTGGTGCTGCCAGCGGTGACGCCCAAGCCCTTCGCCAAGGCGCCACCGCCACCGTTGGTGCCGCCGCTGGTCTTCGCCCAGCCCGCCCAGGTGCCCGCGTTCTTTGTGGACGCCACCGCCTTCGTGGGCGACATCTCCAACGCCGATTGGGGATGGGCGGTCGGCGTGGGAACACCTGCTCGCCGTGGCTCGCCCATCGCGGACCCTCCGGTGGGCCCGTGATCCGAGCTGGGCTTCTCCGCCCCGACGCTGGGCGTGTGGCGGCACGAGTTCGTGGATCCCTACCTGGAGGGCTGGCGGCGCCCACATTCCGCCGAGGTGATCCGCTGCACGCCTGCCGATGCGGCGGGCGACACACAGGCGTTGCATTTGATGTTCCGCCTGGCCCGCCGCACGCGGACTGGCTCGAAGAAGACACCGCCCGCCGGGCGGGATCCATCGACCGCGACTTTGGCATGGACCCGCCCCTGGTGATCTTCTCTCCAGCCTAATTGGATGAGGTACCTGAGGACGGGCCTCCCGACTATCTGGGCCCGCGCCCGGGCGACATTGAGGGCCTCGACCCTCGTCTGGTGAGGCCCTGGACGTTGGCTCCGCGGCGGCCCATCGTCCCCTTCGGGGCGTTGCTTGGGCCCGGCAGCCGTGGTACTTGGTCCGCATGGGGCCTTGGCATCGGCAGGTTCACCGCCTCGACCGTCCTGGCCGTCGTCCCAGGGCGGTGTCCGGCCGCACGGTTGAGCCTGAGCGGGCGGCATTGTTTGTTTGCGTTCGGTTTTGCGATGCGCTCGGCCCTCAGACCTGGTGCCGCCTTTGCTGGGGCAACGGCGCCCCGCTCTCCAGGAGCGATTGCGAGCGGCATCCGGACGAGGAGTTCGAGCTCGAGTGAACCCGCCATGAAGCGGCGGTTCGCCCACGTCGGGCGTGTAGAAAAAGAAGGGCAGGACCGACAGTCGGTTTGTGGTCGTCCCCTGCTTGCACTGCTTTCCGTGTCTTGCTGCCCCTCAGCCCTCTCACTACCCTGAGCCCCGCCGCCTTCGCCCTTCGGCATCCTCGGTGCTGGTCCAGCTCGCCACTGAAGCGGGCGCCGGCGAGTTCCTACAGCACCACGTTTCGCCGAGATCACCATCGACCCGCTCGAGCCCGGCTTCGTCACGGCAGGGGGGGATGAGTTCAAGCTGACCCCGGCCGAACTCCCCACCGCCCGGGCGGTCCTCACCCACATGTGGGAAGAAGCCAGGGCTCAGTGGGACGCCTGGGCGGCGGCCCGCGCGGCGGCATTGGCCCCAACTGCGGCTCCGAGCCCGACCGCGCCTGCCCCATCTCCGGGCGGGACATTGCCTCCCGCCGACAGTGCCGGACCGCCAAAGCACTTCGCCGAATGGGGGACGCTGGTCAAGGCCTACAACTACCGCCTCGTGGACGGGGCGGCCGCGGTCTTTCCCAACGCGCCGCCTGGCTGGGGGGGAGGAAGTGCTCGCAGGATCCACTGGGAGCACACAGTATAAGCTTTGCTTACTCGCCCTTAAGGTTGGGCGAGATCCTGTCGCAGCGAACTTGGACCGCTGCCAACGAGCTCAACCCCCTCGCCGCGGGGCGCCGCGACTCCGCCACTTCGGCCGCGCTCCACCTGGTGGGTGGCAACCTGGTGGCGGAGGAGAAGAAGCCGTAAGTCGGTTATCGCCATCTGCGACGGGCTTGAGGCCGTCAAATGGGCCTGGATACTCGTCCAACTGGGCGCCGAGGAGGACGTAGAGTCCTACATCGCCTGGTGGGACTGTGTCGGGCGAGGGGGAAGAACGCCAACCTCCTCGCCCTCGTGTCGTACTGGGATTCCATGGCCATGCGCCTGGCCATGGACCTCCGCCAAAAGAGGACCTTCAAGGACGTCGTCGCCGACATCATGGCGGACGTCTCCTCGTACGTCGAGGCGGTGACGGTGGCACCGCCCCGCCGGCGGCCGGAAAGGCGCCAAGGGCGGCCGCCAGCAGGAACCCAAGGACAGAGTCAGTGGTACTCGGCCGCGCCTCCGCCTCACAACAATTCGGGCGGCAGCTGACTCCTTCCACCTGGCGGCCTCTCCTTCGACCCGTCGGTGGCTCGTGGCCAGGTGCTGGTAGGACGGGCGTCCCAAACCCAAGTTGGCGAGGGGGCGGACCCCTAAGGACGCTGACGATCGCTGGCTCGCTGGTAATCGGCAGTTCGCCCCTTGGCACTACCACCAGGACGCCAGGGCATCCTCCACCTGCCCACGCCGGAGATTAAGGAGCAGCTCCACGGTGCCCAAGGGGTACACCGCCAAAGGGGGAGCGGACGCCAAGGCCAGACACCGTATGCTGGGCAACGGCCGCCTCCTCGCCATTATTGTGGTCTGGGCGGCATGGCAGCAGCGGCCCGTGGAGCTGTCTGTGTCCCCAGACGCCGGGTGATTCTACGCCACTTCCTGGGCGACGGCCTCTCCGAAAAGGACCATTGGAAGGCGGCGCCCGGCTTTCGCCGCTCGTTGACCTCACCGCCGCGCTTGGAGCCGGCCGCGCCCATTGGCGCCACGACATGGTGCGCATTCGCCGCCGAGTCATCCGGAAACTGGAAGACATGGTGACCGACGCCCAGGACGCCACCTCCGTCTGGCTGGCAGCCCGACCGCCTCGGCCCTTCCAGGGCCCCGTCCTGCTGCACCTGCTCAAGAGGGCGGGCTACCCAGTGGTCCAGGACCTTCAGGCCGACCTCGAGGAGGGCTTTGACATGCTGGGCGAGGTCCGTCGGCTGCCGGCTGGAAGAGCCGGGATGACGGGCGGTATTCCAACCCGGCGCCCCTTGACCGCCTGCGTCGGGAAAACCCGACTTATGTGGCGACCAAGACGCTTCGCCCCCGAGACTCGGACCACACCGCGGTTATCAGGGAGGAGTTGGTCAAGGAGGCCCGGCTCGGGCGAGTGGTGGGCCCTTGTCGAGCGCCCGACAGCTGGGCGCCTGGTTTCGTCGGCCCAGCCACGGCCGGGGGCGGTCACAGGACCCGTCCCGGTCCTGTACGCGGACGCCTTCTTCCTGGAGGGCGACCTGCGCAAGAAGGTGGGACACCTCCAGCCGGGAGACTCGGTGCCCCGGTCGGCGAGGTGGGAGAACGGCTGGGGCTGTGCTCCTCCTCGAGGGCCAGGTGTTCTACGACTTCGGCGTCGTCAAGCCCGAGTACCTCAAGCCTTTCGCGTCCCGCCGGGCCTTTATCTACGTGCTCGAGATCCTGGCGCAGGTGCTCCCCATCGTCACCTTCGCCAGGCGACTGCCCCAACACTGGATCGCCTTCATCGACAATGTCGCCGGGCAGTTCGCTCTCATGAAGGGCTATGGGCGGGACCCTGCCGTGAATGGCATCCTCGCCTCTTTCTGGGGCCTTGCGGCCGACAGGGCGTGGTCCCCCTGAGTTCTACAGGGTACCCTCCGCTGCCAATGTTTCCGACGCCGTCTCTCGGGGTGACGACTCCCGCGCGGCCCGAGAGGGGTGGTGCCGCGTGCGCGCACCGGTCGACGACGTCATGGTGATCCTGCGGCGGGCGGCGTCCGACATCGACTACGCCTGCCACGAGGCTCCTGAGAGGCTGCTTGATCTAGCTTCTTGGTAGGAGTGCCGGCGCCTTGTGGAAGGTGGGTGCGCCGGGCGGACGCAGAAGTGCGCACCCCGGCACCGGCACCGGTTTTCGGGGCGGTGTGCTCGGCCGGGCGCATTTTATGCGACTCGACCATCCAAAAAGGAGCCACTGCACCCTAGTAGGATTTTGGGCTAACTCGTTAGCGCAGCGCTTGTTGTGTAGCGCACGTGTGCGAGTAGGAACAAGCGTTAGCGATCGACCGCAGCTAGCCGGCTCGATCGCCAAATTTGAGTTCCCGCCCACTCCACCCTGGAGGTTTAACTTGACTTACATACGGCCGTCACCCGCCCCACCGGGCGGTTGCTTGGGGCGGACGCAGAAGTGCATTTTATGCGACTCGACCATCCAAAAAGGAGCCACTGCACCCTAGTAGGATTTTGGGCTAACTCGTTAGCGCAGCGCTTGTTCTGAGCTCTTCATCCGTTTTGAGGTGGGTCTGGTCCTGGGAGCGTCCGGCATGTTTTTAGATCTCGAGTGTTTATCTTTGCACACGGCCGTGCTCCAGGGACCCTCGGACGGCAGGGAAGCGTTGGAGTGCTGGAAGAGATTGAGCGACTGCTCAACCAGCGAGGCACAGAGAGGAGTAGTTGTGACTCGTGACACCGTGGGGGACACACAATCTCCGTAGACGATTGCGATCAGGTATTGCGCACTTCACCATTCTTTTGTCGGAGATTTCACCCGAGAGGCTTTCTCTTATGCCTGCACCTTGGTTCGATGTCTCGACCGTCCTGCCTCGATCGCGGTGCTACCCAGAATTGGCACAGACCAGCAGCCTGCCTCAAACTTCCCGGGCACAGCACTTGTGTCGGATATCGGACCTGTTGTGGCATGGAGTTGTGCTTCGACCCCTGACCGTCCACAAGTGGCATTCGGGCGTTCGTCTTCGTCTTTTGGCCTCGGCGGCTTCGACAGCCATGTCCCTCGATATGATGTGTAAATCAGCAGAGGCAGCTGCAATATGCTGCAAGGCTTTTTCAGGCCCCTAGCTCCAGTCCACTTCCAGCTGAGGCCCAAGGTCGAGGCGTGGGTTCAAGTCGCTTGCCCCCGGCTGTCGATGGACTGGGGGACTTCCTACGACAAGCCGCTGCCACTTGGACGTTGCAATTAGAAAACTCCTACTTCCTAAAAAAGAGGGGCCTCGGCCTCTTGAGAGATCCAGAGAGATACGGCGCCCCTGGAGGCTGACGCCCTACGAAGCTCACGTGGCTTACGGGGCCCGTCACTTGGAGTCCGCGCAGTGCTGCTATGATCAACTTCTGGCTCTGAGATGCACACGCCGTGCGCCTTGCTGCAGCGGCTTTCTCGCTGAGCGGGAGCGAGTTGTCTTAAATCTTTGTTTTCCCCAGGCAGCTGTGCCTCCTGAGCCATGTCTGTAGCAGTGGTTACTGGCGCAAATCGCATTCCTGGAATTGGTTACGAGATTGCTCGGGGCCTTGCCACGAAGCTTCCGGAGGGCAGCACGATAGTCATTACAGCAAGAGTGCCTGACATGGGACGTGAGGCCACAGACCAGCTGAAGCATGAGTTTAAGGACCGGGTCAAGCTGGTCTTCCATCAGCTCGATATAGGCGATGCTGCGTCTGTCGAAGCATTGGGTAACTTCGTCCGATCAGAGCTGGGCAGAATCGATATTCTTGTCAACAATGCTGGCCTGGCATTCCCAATGAGCGACCCAACGCCCTTCCAAGATCAGGCAAGGCAGACGGTCGACATTAATTACTATGGAACCAAGCGGATGCTGACCGCACTTCGCCCGTTGTTCAGTCCGAATTCTCGTTCCGTGGGTGTGTCCTCATCTGCAGGACAGCTTGGTTCAGGTTGGTCGCCGGAGCTGAAGAAGCGACTCTTAGCGGATGACCTGACGGTTCAAGAGCTGGACAGCATTGCCGAAGAGTTCGTCAGAGCAGCAAGAGAGGGCCAGCATAGAGAGCAGGGTTTTCCCGGCACGGCTTACGGCACGTCCAAAGCCCTGATGACCCAACTTCACCGGGTCTTGGCAAGGGACAAGCCACCCGGCCTGCTTTGTGCGATCTGCCCTGGTCTCTGTAGAACCCATATGGCCACAGGCCGTGGAACTTTCATGAGCAACATCTTGTGGCTTGCTTCGTTCGTTGTTGGAAGCAGTGCTGAAGGGGGTGCAGACACTCCAGTGTGGCTTTGCACCGGGATAGCTGAAGCAGAGTTTGCATCATACCATGGTCGTTTCCTGAGAGGGCGCAGTGTCCAAGCATACTAGAGTCGTACGACTCTCGTTGGGTCAGAACTGGACGAGAGTAGAACATGGTAGAACCCAAGAACTCTGGAGGACGAGGAGGCCTTTGAGAGCAAGTCACGGGTTCATCCTGTGCAGAGCTCTGTAGACAAAGCACGGCAAAGCACGGCAAAACATCGCGTCTGTTGAATCTTCAAGATATCTACCGGCTACGCTTGTTCTTCCTTGTATGTGCGTTTCTTTGCTCACCTGTCCTCTGGCAAGGGCCTTGCCTACAAAGATGTCGTGGCCCCAGTGCGATTCCTCTTTCGAACTCCTGCTGGCAGAGTCTGAGAATGTGGCAGTTGTCCGAGTTCAGCTCAGGTCTATCCTATGGATTACTACTCCAACAAGGGTGGACCTTGGGCGAACTATGGCGCCCACAACGGCCATGGAGGCTGGACGCCGTCAGCCTAACAGCGCTGAAAGCGTGGAGTGCGCGAAATCAGGAAGCGTCGGGCAAAAGCTCGATCCTCACTGCCACGAGCCCAGGGCATGCTTGCATCTGCACAGCATCCCCGAGGTTCCGCCACCTGGGCCAGAAGAACCGGAGGCACATGGAAGCCAGAAACTTGGATGGAAGCCAACCGGCTGCTCTGTCAGGGGACGTGCATCAATGAATAATCCATTAGTGGCCATCCGAGCAAGGGCTGTCCGGCTACCATAACCCTTCGAAAGGTTGTGGTCCACTGGTAGACACGTCACGTTGGTGTCGACAGGAGACCGTAGACTTAGAACTCTTGCATGCCCAGGTCGAGTATGACTGATGTGGCTGCGGCTGAATGCCGTACCTCCGTGAAAGCTCAGGCGATAAAAAGGTTGAAGGTGACATTTGCTGCAAGAGACAGGCCTGCTCTTCTCGACACACCTGAATGTGCCGATGTTCCGCCGCGAGGAGCTCCGGCTACCTTGACTCGATAGCTTCATTCCTCATGTGCATGTGCTCATGAACCCAAGTCACGTCGTCATTGGACACATGCAGCACTCGTGTCTGACACGCACCAGAAGGCCAATGGCTGTTTGTGTTGTCTATTAGATGCAACGTTTCTATGCTTGCTGATGGCCGCCCCGCCCCGACAGCCGGAAGCTTCACGGCCCTCTAGGTCAGGTGCACGCGTTTGCCAGAGTCAACTTCATCTCTGGTCCAAATGCGCAGGCCAGGTCGCATCCAGCCGGGCAGTGTGTGATGGCCTTCGGCTTACGAATGTGTACCAGGAGTGAGTGTACAAAGCCATGTTGGCGTGTTGAGATCACTTGAGACGCCAATTGTTGCACTGTATGGACACGAGTTGTGGATCAAGGGGCACAGCCATGCAGCAGTTTTCAAAATGACTTAGATGCCGAGGGACCGAGCTTTGATCCTTAAGGGCAATGCGGGGTTTTGAGCAGCCTGGGCTGGGCTGTGCCCTTACGCGGCCTCTGAAGGCTTTGAGCAGCTGCCAGGCGGTGATGGATGATGGACGGAGCCACGTCCTCGTTTGGGCAGTGCCTCTCATGACTACAGCACTGGACGGTGAGGCAATGCCAGCAGCGGGAGCACAACGACTCAGCTGTGGCCAGAGGCATGCCGCAGCACGTCGGCCAGAGTGTGGCTGCCTTTCTCCTTGGACTGTCTTGCAGAGGCTTGCGTTGAAGTGGATGGTTGGGGCGATGGCGGCCCTTTTCTACGCTACCTCGATGCAGAGGTGCAGGAGGGCCACAATTCCTTCCTCCTGAGGGCAGTTGCGCACTTGTAGGTGAGACAGGGCACCTGGGCAAGTGGCAAGTCGGCGCCCTTTATGGGTTCTGCGGTCTTGCATACTGTAGCATTCATGCGGCCTCCGATGCTTGGTTTAAGTCTCGTCAAGGATCTTCTGCAAGGAGCCGGTTACTCTCCAGGCCAGCAGCGCATTCGATAATATGCTGTTCAGTTGCCGACCCTTTCCGTTGAAACTGCAGGCGTCAAGTCAACTCTCGCAGAACGGGATGCAGGTAGACCTGGAAAGGCTTCGGCACCATTCACATACCAGTGAAGTCTGCAGCAGACGTTCATCGATCTCAGAGTCATATCCTCAGCCATTCACGCCTGTCTTCGGAGTGGGTGCGCGGCCCACCAGTTGCGATGACACGAGGCAGGTTCGCTCAGATGTCCCTTGGGGCGAAGCTTTGAGTGCAAGCTCTGGCACTTCCGAGCACCAGGAAAGTTTTAACATTTCGGGATCGGGATCGAGAGACTCAACGCATGGAAGGAGAAAACGGAGCCTCGGCCTGCGCAATCGCGAGGGCTCGAGATGCTCGAGTTCCGACTTTCCAGCCCAAACAGTGACAGCATCCTCAGTGTCGTGCTCGTCACGGCGAGGCAAGAAGCCGTTACGGAAACAGCCGGCTCAGCCGATTTGGTCTGCAAAGGATGGACAGCCCGAGACCTTGCTTGATGCCAGCATGCTGGCGGAGGTGTTCGGCCGTGACCGCTCAGATGAGATCGAAAAGGTGTTGGAACAGTGGCAGGAATATCAGCTGTTGCGATCCGAGCTGCCAGCCCAAGACTTGAAACGAGAAGTTCGCTCACTTCGCAGTGAGCTTGCAAGAGCAGATGCAAAGGCCGGGAGGTTTCTGCAGTTGTGCCGTGACCGCTTTGGTTTCAACTGTTGCATTTGAGGGAGCTGCGTTTGCTTCAGTACTACTTGTAGCTGCACTGCACAGCGACGCTTTCCGCAGCCGCCGGTTTTGGGCAGCAGAGGGTCCTTGGAGACGAGCTCTCCCCACTCGTCAGCAGATCAAGGACCGCTTGGACGACAACTGGGAGTGGTGGAAAGCCTCCTTCTACGCGATCCTTGGCCGCCAGCTTCCGGTGGCTCCTCCTCCTGACATGAAGAGGAAGCTGGAGGAAGAATGGGCTGAGATCCAGCCCGGAGAACGCCGACTTCTTCAGGCTCAGCCGCAAGAAGTTCCGGGCCTTCTCCCGCAACCTTAAGAAGGTCTGTGAGGACAACGTCGACCATCGCCGGGTAGGTGGCGAAAGAGCTGCTTCGTCTTTCTCATTTACCTTATCCGCTTCAAGCACCTCCCCTTGCACCTGTGGAGGCCGGTGCTGGAGCACCTGAAGCTGCACCACATGATGGATGCCGATCTGAGGAGGCGCTGCCTGCTTGGCGCCACCGGCGTCTCAGGATGCTGCTCCCAAGAGCAAGCAGAGGACGATGCTGCTGCTGGTTGACGCTGAGGCATGGTGGGGCTCTGCTGTTGCTCTTGCTTAGGTAGATGTCTTGCAGGTCTGCATGTCCCTGGACCGTAAACCCTAAACCGTCCCCACTCTCCCTATTCTCCCTACTCTCGCTCCTCGCCCTGCCCACTCTCCTCACTCGCCCAGTGCTCGCGGTTCTCTCACTCCTGAGGCACCTCAAAGTGACCACGACCCCGGGGAGGGCACGGTCTGGTGAGAACTTTCGCCGTTTGCAGCTTGGACTTGGACTTGAGCGTCTCGCACTGCTCACTTGGCTCGCCTCGGAAGATCTCGGAAGAACCTGATCAGTGAGATCCTTGCTAAGGTATTGCACACCGACCGCGACCCATTGGTAGGCACGGTCCTTTCGCCGCCTGCTTGCAAGCTGCTCATGTTTGACTCCTCACGCTCCCCACTCTCCTTACGCTCCTCACTCCCCAAACTCACCACGCCTCGCACTCCTCACACTCCTCACTCCTAAAACTCACCAGTCTCCTCGCCCTCCTCGCTCCTCACACTCCTCACGCTCCAAAGCTCACCAGTCTCCTCACACTCCTCACTCCTCACACTCCGACTCCTCACGCTTCTCACACTGCTCCCCGCTCCTCACCCTCACCACTCCTCTCCCCACTCCTCACTCTCCGCACTCTCGCTCTTCACTCTGTTCACTTTCCCCACTCTCGCTTCTCGGGTATGTGACACGACCCCGGCGAGGGCACGGTCTGGGACTATTTTCGTCGCCTGCAGCTTGGACTTGAACTGGAGCGTCTCGTACTGCTTACCTTGCTCGCTCCGGAAGAACCTCAGCAGCGGAATCGTTGCTAAGGTATTGCATGTCGACCACGGCCCTTTCTTGGGCACGGTCTTGTGAGAAGCTTCGCCTTTTCACTGCATGGCTTGTTGTAGGTGTGCAGGGAATCAACTGAGTATGTTCACGTTCATCGTTTAACTATGCTATAGACCTACAGCATGCCCCGAGTGCAGTGCGTCTTACCAGTCTTACCTGTCTTGCGTGTGACAAAGTTCCCAGAACATGCGTGAAGCAAGCAGCGAGAGGCTGGGAGAAAGCATGCGATGGTGGTTGTGCTGTGCCGCTTGTCTAGTAGGTGCCGCATTAATTGTGTAGATTTGCTGCGGAGGCAACAAGAGCAGAGGCAGAAGCTGCAGAGGCACGGCAAGTCGAGGCCGAAACAGCTCAGGCCGAGTTGGCCGTGTTGAGAGCCGTAAGAGCAGAGGTGCTCTCCGAAAGACAGGCAGAGCGAGAGGAATATCAAGAGGAGTCAAAGGAACTCCGGTATTTAAACAGCGAGGAGTCAAAGCAACTCCGTCATGCAAGCAGCGAGCTTGCAGAACTCCAAACTGCTCTCGAAGCCTCAGAACTGCAGCCCTTCCAGCTTGAGCAGGAGCGGGACCAGTGGGCAGATCGCTATAGCGCTGTTTCGGACGAGCTGCACATGCAGAGGATTATGTGCCGGCGCCTGGAGCACGACGGATCGAACCTTAGAGGGGAGTATCTCGAGGAATCGGCCGCTCACCGCGCCCTGGAGCTGCGGGGAGGAGAGCTCGCTCGCCTTCATCAAAACGAGGTGCAGGAGGTTCAGCAGCTTCGACAAGAGCTTCAGCAGCTGAAGAAAGGAGAAGAAGCTCAGTGCCAGGAGTTTCGGCAGGCGCAACATGACCTAATCGAGGTCAGATGCGAACACAGATCGGTAGAGTCTCAACTGGAGCATCAAACGCAGCGCTTGCTGGAACGGCCCGACCAAGCACCGGCATCTCGACTCGGTGATGCGCAGCAGTTGGAGTCGAAAGCGGAGCCTGAGCCTCAAAGACAGCGCTGGCTGGCGCAAGCACAGCTGGAACAACCCGACCAGCGGCCCTTGGAATCTTCCTCTCCTGACCAGCTTGGGCCACATGTGGATCTGCAAAGGCTGCTGATACAAACGCACGTGTTGCAGGGGCCCGAAGCATTGCCGCTGGCATCTTCATTGCACGATCCGGCGTCTCCCGGGGAGTTTCTCCGAGAGCTACGGGCTGTTATAGGCGCATCCTCTCGCCTGGCTGGCGGGGCTGGGGCTGCGGGGGTGGACTACGCCGTGAAGGCCGCGAGTGAAGCGCTGAGAAGAGCAGAGGCTCGCTGCGTCAGGAGCTCAGTGAAGTCGAAGCGGCAGGGCATGGCAGCGCATGGCAGCGCGTCGCACCAATGGAGCTCCGTTGCTCAGGAGATCTCCAGACTCAGAAGCCAGGCCATGGAGGCCTGGATTCACGAAAGCTGCTTAAATTGCGTCTCTGCCGTCTTTGGAGTCTTTAAAGGCAGACCTGGCCGCATTGGTGGAGACCGGGACCGCCGGATCCGCCGGGACCCAGCCAAACCAGGCAGCCGGGTCTGACCCGGAGCTCGAAGAGGACCGACGGGCCTGGGCCCGCCCGGGCGGCCAATTGAAAGAACTTCATCTTTTGGAGTTGCAGGATTTGTAGGATCGCAAAAAGTGCAGCAGGCAGGGCGTCCGGAAAGTAGCTGCCTTCTCCCCAACCGACTTCATGCTTGGAATGGAGATCTGCGTGCGCCTGCTGGGTTTTGCAGACCAAGTTGCTAACATACTTAGTTGCATTTTACAGTCGTCTTCCACTGTTTTGATGCTGTATCTGAAAAAGCTTTGTTTTATGTCTGAGAAAGCTCTTCCTTTTGGCTGAAAATAGGTTTTCTATCTTTTATTATGTCTGACATAAACCGGTATGGTTACTGAAAAGAAGGTTTTTTTGCTGCGAGGAAACCAGTTTGTTTTTTTGGAGACTCCAACATGGCATCAAACATTTTGCCGGATTTCGCAAGGCCTGAGAAGCGGAGAGTTGGATCAATTGATCATCTTCAGAGTTCATGTGCCAGACAGGGCTGCTGCGGGCCTACAAAATTCGCAACACAGGCATTTCGACTGAGACCCTTCCCGCTGTTTTTAGATCAACCTGTTAAGAAGATCTTGCGGAACACTACGCTTCTCACAGCTACTTGAATATGCTTTGGCTGCAGCAGGACAGCCCAAGAAGAAAACTCTGGGAGCAGGAGGAGGAAGACGATGCCAGCGATGCCAGCGAGGCTTCTTCTGATTATTTGTGTAGTCATCTCAGTCATCCGAGTGCGTCACAGCGCCCTCCTGACTCAAAACGATGCAGGGCACGCTCGGAGCAGATTTAGTGCAAGCCGTTCAAATCAGGCAAGGGACGCTTGAAGATGACAGTGTCCCCGGTGCTGCTGCAACTCGTTCCTTGTGAGGCAGCTTTCTCATTTAGCACTTGCCGGTTTGTGCCAGCCTCAGTGGGAGCATGGGGCTCTGCAACAAGATGCGGTCGCGATGAGGCAACTTCTGATGAGAGCAGCTTTTGTTGGGTGGCGCGATCAGCGGCAGCTGTCCGATATACGGTGCAAGGAGAACCTGCTGAAGGCAGAGCATGATGATCCGTGCCTTCATTTGTGCAAACCTTTGTCAATGAGGCATGGAGTTCACACGGAGGGCGCCATTTGTCGTCAAGGCCAGTGCTCCGGATCTTGTGGCTTTCGGACTCTGCTAAAGCACGAGGCTGGCGCTGCTCTGCTGCAGAACTCTGTTCGGGATTTGGCGGCAGCTAGTCGTCGTTTCTCGAGGAAGGCCAGCATCACAACTGGAGATCTTAAAGAGACAAGGTTGGTAAATTTGTCTCTGCCAGGCTTCATCATCTCTCTTTGGGGCAGGCTTGCCGTGTCAAGGGTTTTGCCTTGTTGGTCTGCTGGTCGAAGCTGCATGTTGCAAGGCACCTGGCTTCGTGAGACGATCCTTGCGCCGAACTTCAGGACCGCAAATCCGCGAGGAGCCACGAGTGTTTGCATCTTGTTGGCTAGATTTGTCGAAGGTGCCCTGCAGCTTCTCGAGCGCTCGCGCGAGCGGGTCTGGCTGCTTGGGTTTGCTCGAGCCTCAGGCTTGCTGCAAAACCGAGAGGACCTCCCGCGCCTGAGCATCAAGGTGCTGTCTCTGTGGTCTAGTCTGCGGTGATGGCTTGCAACAGCAGCATGCCCAGACAGAGAAGTCCCAGCGACACGGAGTTGTTCGTTGCACTTGTACAGCACGTGAGCCCTGTCACGAGGCCTGGCCCATCACATGAGATCTCGTGGAGTGCCAACGGATTTCATGCTCCGGCTGGTTTCATCCAAACATAAGACATATGAAATGCACAATCTGCATGCATCCGTTTCAGGCTCAGCTGTCTCATGAAGCTTTGACTTAAGCGCGCCAATGATGCCTGCTTCAAAGCCTCAGCTCAGCTTACCAATGATGCCAGCCTCGGACCAGTTCTTAAATTTGCTTCGGCACTGAAGTCTGGTGCTGAAAAGCGACAGCCGCTGCGATTCGCTCGCTGCCACAAGCTGCAAGTCTCGCTTTATCGCAGGCCTGGCTCGAGCTGAAACCACCGTGGTCCCCACCAGGAACAGCCTCAAAACCACTCCTGAGCAAGTCCTTGTCTCTCCGTCACCACAGCTGTTTCAATAGAAGGAGCGAAGGGAAAGGTGCACAACCGGCGAGCAGGGGCGAAGTTGCGCCCGGCAGAGTTTTCGCACGGCACCATGGCTCGACTCCCAGCACGGAATCAGAAAGGTCTACTTCACAGCACCTACTGAACGATTCTGTTGTCAAGCTGTGACTGCGCTCAGGCGATGGGGATGCCGCTGAGACACTACCTGGGTACCATGGTGCGGCTCACGTCGCGGAGTTCTGTTCCATTCAAATGCCACTCAGGGACTCGGAGAGTGCAAGGCAGCGTCGTTCGGCTCCATGGCCCTCGGCTCCATCTGCGTGCACACGCCGATGGCTCAGATGACATAGACAGCGCAAGGATGCTTCCGAAGCCCCGCTGAGGTACATGCAGCCCGAGATGAACTCGGACATGGTTGCCTCCGACTTTGAAAAAGAAGCACAAGCGAGGATACGACCTTCCCGGCAAGTCACTTTTTTCTGCTTGCACATCCGCAACTTTTGGTGACTTTGCACGGCCGCCTTACAGGAGAAATGCCATCGAGGAAGTGACAAAGCTTGCCATGGACGAGAGATTCGGGCAGTCGCCCGAGCCATTGGAGCTGAAGACTCATGCGGCAAGCATCTGACAGACTCAGCCTGTGAGGCCCGCCGTCGACGGCACCGCCTCGAGGACTGGAAAGCTTTCCAAGCTCTCGTGCGAGACTTTGCGATACCGGAGACTCCAGGCCTCCGAGATGACGCCTGACTGCGTCTTGACAGTGAGTCTGGACAGTGTAGTTTTCGAACCGTCTATCTGGCACATGTTCCAAGACCAAGACGGCGATGGAAAAGACTCTCATGTGCAAGTCTGTAGTCGAAACCTGGCCGTGCGCAGAGAGCTTAGGGAGCCGGCGGCAGCACTCTGCCACGTGTATTTTTCACAGTCACCTTCTCATGGTCGGCTGACGGCTGGTCTGGCTCTGAGAGTCCGTTCTCGCGGTCTCTGGGCTCGGTGCTGCCTGCTCCTTAGACACTTCACTTGATCCTGCCACGTGCAACTATCAGACCCAAGCACAGCTGGAGGCTGCCATGTCCTACTATGTGGGTGCCGAGCCGAGAAATCCGGTTCAATGCGAAAAATTCTGGCGCAATCGCATCGATGCAGAGGAGGCTCAGGGGATAGGAGTTTAGACTCCGCAAAATTCAGAGGGGAGTGTCACGAGCCAGGGTGCAGCTGTTCGGGCCACGGCGAATTCAGTGTGGCCTGGCTCAATGCGACATGACGTCTACCGCTGCCTGCAAAACAGTGCTTCTGTCCTCAGGAGTGAGGGTAGTTGCCCCGTAAGCTGGCGGTGCTTGGCTGCAAGGCTACCATCTCGAGATCCCAGAGATTGCACTGACAGACCCACGCGCAGCCTGTGGTACTGAGGAAAATACCTAGGACGCCCGGGCGGCTAGGCACTGGTGAGCCAGGAACACAGGAAGACCTGAAGCGGCTTTTGTCCGTTTGCACATGGTCATGCCGAGCACGGCTTAGCGTTGAGGCAACATGTCTTGCAGCACCAATTCAGGTCGAGACATTCAGGAAGCTCCTTGGCATGCAGAGGCCCGGCGCCACAGCACGGTCCGAGCATGTGTCTTAATGTTTCTCTGTTCCTTTCGGAGCACCTTCATATTGGAAAGCGCCCCCCCCAGTACATAGCCAAGATACGTTGAGGCCAGAAACCCATGCCTGAGGGTGTAGCATCAATCTAACCCGCGCCAGCCGGAACGTCGTAGCATCTGACGGGATCTGAAGCAGACACGACGGAGAGAGACGATTACGCGCTTCTTTGGATGCTTCTCGCTTGCTTCTTGCTTATAGAAAATAAAAGGTTAAGCCGATTTAGCTAAAGGGTCTGGAGAGCACGGGAGCGGAGCCGCGAATGCGCGATTGGAGGATTGGAACTCCTCTCTGCTCGAAGAGGCGAAGAGGGCGAGGCCCGGCCTTGCCTTAGCTTCCCTGGGTCCCTCCTCCCTGCGCTTCGCTGCAGGAGTCGGTGCTGCCCGAGCTGCAGAAGGCAGCTCTTGGGATGGAGGCCCCTCAGCCTTGGCGCCGAATCGGCGGTTGGTCGGTTCTTCTCGAGGCAAGAGAGCGCCTGGGCACCGGGCGCTCCCAGCGCGTGGGCACCGCGTGCTCAGGCCCGGGCTTTCATGGAAAGTTTGCCATCGGAAGCGGAAGTCGCCGTATGAGCTGCGGGTTGCAGGCATCTCAGCGCGAAGCTCCGTTTCCGGAATGTCATGCCGTTCAACGGTGCTTTCCGTCGTTCTGGGCTTAGCGGATGATGTGACGCCCCTATATTATCATTTGGCTTTTGCGATCTGACTTTCGTTGCGGCTCTTAGCACTTTTGCAGGAGCTCGAGATCGAGCGGGAGCGCCGGCAGGTCCCTGGCCCTGGCTCGGCCAATCGATCCATGTGAAGGAGCATCTCATCTTTCCAGAAAGGCCGCGGAAAAGGAGCTCCAAGAGCTGCGGAGAAAGTTGGACAGCATGAACGGTGCCGAGTCCTAAGCCAGCCATTTTTACAAAGCCAAGTCTTCAAGCACTGTGTTCTTGTCAATTCGAGGCTTCCAGCACTGCTTCTCATGGACGTGCTAAATTGCCGGAGTCATCCAACACGAGCAAGAGCAGGCGTTCCCGCTGATGTGCCACCTTCGTAGTTTATGTAACGTCGGGCGGGAGGCCAGTTTGGCTGCAAGCATCGACATATTTTCATTCAAACACGCAGAGCAGAGATTCCAGACATTGGCCGTCTGTTGCTGTGCTGACTGGTCTTCGATCCCCTTCGATCTCTCCGCTGAACATCGGCAGGGAGGTGTCTCACCAGCCCGGAGAAATCAACAAAAGTCCTGCCAAGACTAAGGCGTTGCTTGAGACACTGCGTCCACATTATTTTCACGAGCTATGGTGGTGTTGGTGCGCGTGTGTGTGTGTGTGTGTGTGTGCGCCATCGTGAACGGCATTTTTGGCCATTGACGCCTTTTCTTCTGTTATGCTCCGCAGCTGAAGCCCCGGCAAACAGCAAGTGAGCGAACGGCCCGTCCTGGACCAAGCAGCAAATTTGAGCACCCCCCCGGACCTGCACCCACAGCAAACACAGCACAACCCAGCAGTGTTGTTTTTGCTGTTGGTGCCCAGGAGGGGGGACCCGGGGGGGAGTGCTGTCTTTGTTCTGTAAGCATTGCTGTAAGCATCCAGCAGCACAAGCAAACACTCCCTCCCGCAACAACAGCAAAGAACAAGCACGCACGCACGCACACGCACACACACACACACACACACACACACACACACACACACACACACACACACACACACACACACACACACACACACACACACACACACACACACACACACACACACACACACACACACACACACACACACACACACACACACACACACACACACACACACACACACACCACACACACACACACACACCACACACACACACACACACACACACACACACACACACACACACACACACACACACACCCACACACACACACACACACACACACACACACACACACACACCCACACACACACACACACACACACACACACACACACACACACACACACACACACACACACACACACACACACACACACACACACACACACACACACACACACACCCACACACACACACACACACACACACACACACACACACACACACACACACACACACACACACACACCCACACACACACACACACACACACACACACACACACACACACACACACACACACACACACACACCACACACACACACACACACACACACACACACACACACACACACCCACTGATGGATTCGGCCAAGAGTACGAGTGCAAGAGGAAAAAGAGAGGCATGTTGTTCATGTTGCAAAAGTTTGTCAGATTGTGGCAACCGTACAACTTGTTTGTATAATCTGGACACCACAGGGGGCCTGTCCTCAAACTAATCTTGGCACCACAGGGGGCTGCCGAAAATTGCGCAGGTACATGACTGAGCGTCCTCAATCACTTCCCTTCCAGTGACCTAGCTTCGTTGGATCAGGTCAGTCACTGGAAGCCTGATCCCCCTGCAACAGTTGATTTGGTAAATGTCCAATGCCGGATTATGTTGAAAAGTGAAATTGCAAACAGTGTAGGAGTGACCCTCTGCTCCCATGTGCTAGGGAGGTTCACACACACACACAGCCCCAATGGGGCGTACATGCTTCAAGTAGAGTGAAAGGTCTGATGCACGGCAATAGGAGTGAATGGCGCACTTTTCTCGCTGTCAATAGCGATCGGGTGATTGTCGTATTTCCTGATCCGAACAGGTTCTAACAAAAAGCACCGGCTTCAACGTGGCTAATGTGGTGACTGAATCCCAATCATGTAGTCGTCGACGGTTTTGTTCGAAGAAGAAAGCTGGGATTTTAGGAGTTCTGCCGGTGATCTCCTTGATGCGGTAGGAGAAGATCTTGCGAGCTTGGAGAACGTTGTCACCCAGACAAAGCACCACGTGTAAGAAAATGTGCTTGTCTCTGGTGATGCGGTCGGGTGGAATTTCAACAGTCATCCGAAAACATTGTCCTGCCATGGAGTACCATGGAAGGCCGGCCTCGGCAGCCTTTCGCTTTGTCATATTTTTGCTGCTACCAACCGACAAAAGCTTGAACAAGGAATGCAAATCAACATGGACATGATGTGTGCTCTGGCAAAACAACAAAGTGGTGTCGTCCTGACACTCGCATGCGCAGGCTTTTTTGTCACGCTTAGCGGATCTTGCAGCCCTAATCCGTCCTGAGAATTAGGGTCCAACAGCGAGTTTGTTGGGACAGTCACTCATGATCTTGAAATGGCATCGACACCTAAATCCTGCACGTACCAGCATTTTTGCACAAGCGGTTTTGGACCGCTTGTGCTGAATAGTAGGATGCACAATATCGTAAGGTGCAATCGAGTCAGAAGACCAAGGATCTCGAGATGGAGACCGGTGTGCGTCCTCAGCCATGTGTGACGTTGCCGTAGGTGACGCTGATGATGTTGAATGCGAAGAGCGTGTCCTCTTTCGTCTTGTAGTATGTGGATGTTGGCGTCGTTGCTGTGTTGTGGATTGGGATGGTGGTGAGATGTTACGTGTTTTCTTTGTTTTCATGACTGTTTTGTCCTTTTTGTCTTTGTTGTCTTTCTTCTTTTTTGTCCTCGTTGTGTGCTTTGTTTTTTGCTTGTGTGTGTGACTGACTGCATGGGAGGATGTGGTGGTGTCATCCTTCCTCAAGAAGGCATCAATCTCTTCGGATCCCCATAGGCTGCTGTCGTCGTCCTCGTCCATCTGTGTGCGATCCTAATGTGTTTCAGCAACTGTAGTTCTGAGAAATGGCTGCGGAGTCACAACTGCATTGAGGCATGTGCGTACGCTAATCTTCAGAAGAGAGAGAAAGGTACACAGAGACATCAATTGATTAACCGCGCAGACCTGTATGACCTTTCGACATGATGCTCTTAATGTTGAACCTCATCAGATATGATGGAGTTCGTAGCACAGCTTTGCTGTGTGGTTGTTGGCTGCCGGGGGCAGCAAATATGCATCTAATTGTCAACTCAGCAATGCTGCTCACGGAGTTCTTGATCGCTTTCGCTTGTTGGATGTAGGAGTTGATGTAGTAGATACTGTCTCCTTTTGGGTAGGAGTCGTTGATGTCGGACGCTGATCAGGTTGCTCCGAATGCTTTCGTATCCACTCTTGAGATGCGATAAAGTCCTCACGCCACCATGAAGAGCCGTTAGTGGCCCAATGCCATCTCCATTGTGATGCCGTCGGAGATCGCGATCTGGTGCGTTGTTCCATGGTGCTAACACAACTGGTTGTTTTTCAAAATGCTGCGGGAAAGAGTGCATCAATCGCTGCATACCTAACTGTGAAGTGAGTGCACTGACTGTAACAATTGGCAAAAACGACTATCATTGTTTTCACCGTCCGCTGCAAAGCGCCCGATGACGGTATAAACATGGTTGATCACCTATTGTTGCAAAGCTTCGAGTCGTTCCACTCGTTGCTTTAGCTCTGTGATCTGCCGGGTTGTTTGCAGAATAAACTCGGCTAATTGGTCGCGTAGAGCCCCGTCACTGAATGTGGAAGGTTCGCTTCCAGTTTCTGAATCATAGTCCCGATGCTGTGTCAAAATCTCCATGAGGGCCTCAGAGAGAGCTTCACGTCGTGCCTCATCGATGGGTGGCGAATCTGTAGTCGCTGTGTTTGTCGGAAGAGATGCTTCGCTCATGGCTCTATGTCGGGATTCCAATAGGTGTCACTCTGAGGCATAAAACTTCAGAAGGCAAAGTTATGGTGCGTATCCGAAAGCAACATGTGTTCAAATGCAAGAGGTATGCACTACCTGGCTCTTTTTATACCAGCGGATTCAGCAGCACATTCAGGACCAGTCTGGCGTGTTTTGCCTCATAAGGCTCTCGAGAATATCAAGTTGTTGTTTGCACGATGCCATAATGGCAGTGGTGGCTTCGTGTTGAGTAGTCAACACCGTTGTGGCCTGCTGTATCAAGCGTTCCAGCTTGGAATTCGATTCAAGCAACGAATTGTGAAACTGTGTTAGTAACTCAATAATCTCAGCCGATGAATCCGGACCAGAATGAGGCGGAGGTGGAAATGGTGGAGTCGCCGGTGCAGCCACTGCTGCGTCCTGCTGTTCTTGCGGATCTTGGTGTTGCTCTTGGTAATCTTGGAAATCTTCGTCTTCTGCAACACGTAGAAACTGAGAGCGTAAAGGTGCCGGCTGTTGGCTGTGGCTGCCAACCGCAGGCTGCTGGTTGTGGCGTCTGCTATGTTTGGAGATGGATGGCCGAGGACGGCCACTCAGCGCTTTGTGGCTCGGCTGCAATCTGCCAGTCATGGCACTTTTATACATGATGATGCCTCAGTTAATCCCTGTAAATGGCTGCGGGAAACACTGTGTTGGTACAGGCGTCTCACATGTTGCAAAGTTGCATGACTCTGGACGCACGCACTGCAACTTGGCACAGTGTTTTTGCTTACAGCTGTTGATCAGTATAGCCGGCAGCGATGTACAGATCGCGCATGGCTCGAATGGCTGATGTGGCCTCGCTGCATGGTGTTGTCACTCTGCGTACCATGCGTGTGCGGGCCTGAAAACTGCTGCGAAGTGTTGCTACAGAGGTCGCCGACTGTGGGTGTAAAATATCCGCCTTGTGCAAAGTGCATTGATGCGTAAGGCTGCTGTGCTGAGGGTTTATAGCGAAACCCAGGAAAATGTTGGCCGGTTCAGTTTCAAGCTGAACCGGTGGTTTGTAGAAAGATGCGTCAGTAAGCTGTGCAAAAGGAGGCAGTCGGGTCAGCTGTGCAGGCAAAAGAAGGACGCGGTTGTCAACGTATCTGGTAGCAAAAAAGTAAGCTTGATCCTGCTTGTTGTGGTCTGGAAAATGCTTGTGGTTCGTGAAAAGTTGTTTGTATGTGTGGTGCCAACACTGCTCTTCTACAGCAACCACGATGTTGCATAAAGCTGGGCTGCAGGGCGAGCCCATAGGTGCTCCACGAAATTGCTCAATGAGTGATGTACCGACAGTGAAATAGTTGAGCATGAGCACTGCAATGATGAGTTGTGGTATGTGTTGT